AAGCCTGCTCCGAAAGCCTCTTCGGATTGTGGAAGGATCAACTTGGCATCCAGATGAAGCTACCAGATGCTGAGCCAGGTCTTTGCTGGATTTCCTCTGTTAGAGAAGAAACCGAGAAACTTCTCATCAGATTTGAACAGTTTCTTGGTCTTCCACTTCTATTTTTGTCTTTGACCTCTCCAAATTATTCCTATTTCTTTAGAACAGCTTGAATACCACATCTCGAATAACTAGTTAGTTTGCAGATTTTTTCTGAAATTTTTTATGCTGTGTACATATTTCATATATTTTCTACAACCCCAAATCAGAAAAGGTTGGGACTGTATGCAAAATAAAAATTTAAACTGAAAATAGTGATGTGTAAATCATCTGTGTCCTGTATTATATTGAAAACAATATAGCAGCACATTATTTGATGTGATACCGCAACAATTTTATTCTTTGTTCAAAATAAACACTCACTTTAATTCTGATACCTGCAAACATATTCCAAAAAAGTTGGGATGGTTGCATTTCAGGGCTAGTAGTAATGAGGTAAAACAATGAAATGATGATCTAATTTGAAACAGGTGATGTCAACAGATGATTGTAATCATGATTTGGTACAAAAGTGCCATCCTGGAAAGGCCAAGCCCTTTAGGAGCAAAGATGGGCTGGGGATCGTCAGCTTATGTCAACATATGTGTGACAAAATTATTGAAATGTTTAAAAACAATGTTCCTCATCATAACATTGCTAAAACAATATATCTAGTAGTGTCCTAAGACTTTTTCACAGTACTGTACTTATAAAAAAACTTAAAAATCCTCATTTTTTCAAGTTGTTACACTCTTCTGGCTCTATAGTGTTAATTGGCCCTTTCCCCTCTTAGCGTATGTTAATTCCTGCTTTATTTGACTCAGAAGATAACAGAATCAGCAAATTGCCAAGTTCAATCAAGTCAAGATAAAAGGTTAATGATAAATGCAACGATGTCAGTGGTACATGGCAAGCCTGTTTCTAGTGTGCACTGATGGGAAGACTGTGGGGTACTTTTTTGTGTGGTCCCTTAAAGTGAAGCTGGAGGACCTTTCATAAATAACATCACTTACAGGCCTCCCCAGACCATACAATATGAGTCAGAGAATAGTCCCATCCAAATGGCATTGAGCGTCAGGACTGAAAATGAGTGCTGAGAATGACAATCAGCCAATCTATCCTCTGCCACATGACATTCTGGAAGGCAATCAATTTTTACCTCCGCCAAGGAGGTTATGTTTTTGGTTTTGTGTGTTGTTTAGCAGTATTACAAATGGGTGGATGGATCATAAGCATACTGGGTATTGGTGGGGACCAACCCTAGAAGTGATTAGATTATGTCCGAAAAAGGTCAAAGGACCAGGTCACAAAAACTAATGGAAAAAAAAAATCTCAAAAATCCCTATTTTTAACATGGGACAAAATTTTAAAAATGTATATCTCCATCAAAGGGTATCAAAATCATTTGGAATTTGCATCATATGAAGGGTGGCAATGCCTGTCAACTGATCAAATTTCATGTGGCTCTGATCCAATTACGGATCTGACATCCATTTAAATTTAACATTGAAAACCCCATAGTATTATTTTCTGCCACAACTTTGCCTGTAATGAAGACAGAACTGAAATGTTCAGGTATGATGCACAGTATAACTGCGTATCATACCCTAAAAGATGATCTGGATCCAATCCAAATCAATGATTTTAGGACCACATTTTGTTCTGGATCAAATTTTTCACAGGGACCCATTTGCATGATTAAATGTGATGTGTTGGTGAAGGTACATGTGCTCGCTGAATGCACTTTTGTTTGTGGGGGGGTGATGAGTTATCATTTTCAACTTCTGTAATGAATGTTTTACCTGGAAAATAAAATGTCATTGCACACATTTTGTTGGCAAGAGGACAAAATGGCTTGTTGGGTCATATCTATAAAAAATGTGTCAAAATGAGGTAATATGAAACCTGCATAATTTAAATGGAAGGGCATTTGGTATTGGAAAGCTTGTTAAGTACAGATACTCTCTTTTCCTCTTTCATAACATCATTTTCAGTTGTGTATTACATTTAAAAAGTCACATTAAACATAACTTATGGGGAGACGCCAGAGCAACCAACAACAAAATTGCAGCTATGATTTGTGTTCTCTCTTTACAATCAAAGCAGTGCGAGCAACCTGCAAACATTGCATATTACCAGGTGACCTGCCTGTATAAGGCCAGACAATCAGAAACAGAAATAGAAAGAATGTGGAGGAGCAAGCCTTCCTCCTCCTCCTCCTCCTCTCTTTTTAAACCTCTGCATTTATAGTCATTCCTCTGGAGAGAACCTACCTGAAATTTGTGGAATAGAACTATATAAACTAGAATGGGTATGATTTTATATATATTATATATATATATATGTATGTATAAAGGTTTAACCAAAAGTGGAACAGTATATGAGATATACATACGTGTACTAACTGAAATCTAGAAGAGAAAAGTAGTATTCTACATTGATGCAGTTTGAAAAGACTGTTTTGAAGATCTTTACTTGGCTCCGTACAGAAGATTTCAAATAATTCCCTCTTCTTTTGGGACTATCAAACATTACTTCTGGGTGTGTGGGTGGTTGTGTATCACATAACATGTATTTTATTTTTGAGTAAACAAGTGAGTAACTTCAGTATTCCAGTGTGCAAAGGAAGGAAGAAAATCAGAACGTGCTGTGGGGGGACGATGAGCATTAAGTATTTTCCAACAAATATCTTGATGATCATAGCTTTGTCAAGAAAAGTGTGAAATCATGAGCTCAGAGGAAGCTCTACTTAGCGGCAAACATCTCTATTTGCATTCACACCCAGTATTCAGACGTGAATCTTTCTGCTATTCAGCTATTCTCACATAATACTGCTCATTAAAAAAACTAAATAACTGTACAGCAAACACAAAGCACAATGCCCGTGACATCCAAGCAAAAAGAAATCAAATAAGAACCTAAACAAACACAAATGTCTTACCACAAACAACACAGCATAAGCTAAAGATTATGCACAATAGGATTTGTAAGATAAGGGTTTAATGCGAATATACAAACAACCATCTGAAAGCACGGGAAATCTTGTTATGAACATGGTGATCCTAAAACCATCTCAGGTTTTTTTCAATATTAATCCATGGGTACATATTGTTTACCTAAGCTGTGCAAGGCTAAGTGATCAAGTAGCAGACTTATCATCTGTCAAAGCAGTGTAAATAATTACCTCTGGTTGCTTCGCTGTGGACAGAGTTTTGTTTAGGAGAAGTGGCGGTGGTGTGGGTCATACCTCGCATTCTCGGGAGCCTGAGATGGTGTAGGTGCAGGGTCCGGTCCCATTGACAAGCACATCCATGGCCTCAGAACTGGTGGGCTTGTAGTCCACATAGTACTCCTGCAGTGGAGAGCTCAGGGTGCGCTCCGTCTCTCTAGCTTTCTTGCGGCGTTTGCGGGCTGCTGCTGAATGCTCCTGCAGTTGCTTGACACTGCTAGGATAGCGCTTCCAGGACACGTAGATTACCAACAGGATCATTGCAACTGATAGAAAAAGGGCAACACTTCCAGCAACAATTTTATGGAAAGACACGGGCTCCAAGTCTTGCTCTGGTGGAAGTGCCACAGGTGGGGTGCCAAATGATGATGTGGGGATTCTAATTGATTCCTCTCCTCTCTTTCCAGAACCAGTAGGTGAAGCAAGAATAGCTGGGTGATGCTCAGTCTGCACAGGGACACTGGATGGGTATGGAGGAATACTGACAGTGAGTGTTGTCATTGGATTTGATTGACAAACACCAAAAGCTTCAACTGCATCCATCACTTTTTCACCCTGGGCTTTCTTGGGGGAAGCACATATCATTGTGGTCTCCTTTGCTCCTCTGAAGTTTCTTAGCCAGGCCACCAGAGGACAGATGGCAGGGCCACAGTCCCAGACATTTCCAGCTAAGCTAATTGTAGTTAAAGAGATCCAGGCATCAACGACTTCCTGGGAGACATTGGTCAACTTATTGGAGTCCAGGTTGAGGGTCTGCAGGTTGGGGAGGCATTGGTAAACTACCGCCTCTAATTCCATCAGATCATTCCCAGACAGATCCAGTTTCTGAATCGAAGCCCAAGTCCAGGTCAGGCCCTGGCTCATCGAGCGGATGCGATTCCACTGCAAGTAAAGTGCCCGCAGATTGTAGAGGCGAGGAAAGTGAGAGAAATTGATTTTTGAGAACTGGTTATGCTCCAGATGGAGCTCAGTGAGCTTGACCAGGCCTGAAAATGCATTCCGAGTAATACTGCGCAAGCGGTTGTAACCCAGATCCAAAAACTCAAGATTTCTGCAGTCTTGGAACAGACGCATTGGGATAATTTTTAGAGAGTTTGAACGTATGTGCAGACTGAGAAGCTTTCGTAGGCCCTGAAACTGACCAGGCTGCAGGGCTTGCAGCTTATTGTATGACAGGTCAAGATTACGCAAATTAGGTACAGGGTGGAATGTGGTGTTGTGGAGCGATGTGATCTTGTTGGAGCTCAGGATCAGTTCTTTGAGCCTGCGGATGCCCTGAAAGGCCATTGCATCCACAGAGGCAATGTAATTGTGGTCCAAGTAAAGCCAGATGAGGTGGTTAAGGCCTACAAACTGGCCTGCACGAAGGCTTGCAAGGCTATTGTACCGCAAAGACAGGCCTTCACAGCCTCCTGAGAGATTCTTGGGGACATCGCGAAAAGCGCTTGACTCACAGTAGACTATTTTTCCATCACAGCGACAACTTTTTGGGCATGGGCGCTCACTCAAAGATGGATTTGCTGCTAGCCACACCTGCATCAGGAGTTGGACCACTAGCCAGCGACACTGCAGAGCAGAGCCTATAGGGAGGGGGAGGGGGAGAGGAAAACGAGAAAGGAGAAAAATGTGAAGCTGATGAGGTTATTACAAAGTTCCAAAACCTTGCAATTTTGTTTGATAAATACATGCTACACAGTGACTGGCTAATATTTATTCATTTATTTATTTATTTTTTCCTCCTGTTTAGTACTGGAAATTTTTTCCAACAAATTATTATTTTTTTAAATGATAAAGTAATAAAATATGCATACCCAGACCTGACTTATCGTCCTAGAAAAGATTTGGCACAACAATAATGATCTGACTTGTGCATATTTTTGTTTATATTGTGTACATGTTGTCCATACTCATTGTAATGACTGATGTGTGTGCATCAACCCTTTTGTCAAAAACAAAATGGAGTGAAAGCAAAATCACCAAACAATACTTAGTTTACCTGTGAAAGTCAATAAACTTATATGGAAAACTTTTCATTTCTTATAAAAGAACTGATAAAGAGGAGGAGCCAGAGGAGCCCATCCTCAGGCCTTTCGGGATTGTTTTATTGTTTATACATTCTGAAATTGTTAGATTCCTTTTGCCTCATTTTGAGAGATGCCAGAGAAGATCCCAACTATTTTAGCTGTTAGGTTGTTCCTTTTGCCATTATTGAACTCATAATCATGTGTGCACTTTCCAGAAATCAGGGTTTTTTTCCTTTTACCTTCCTCCACTGTACAGTACCCGCTTGAGCCCCTCCCTTTCCTTATGTCCAGATTGATTCATCAGTTCTCCAGAGGTATACTGCCAGTCAATGAACATGCTTTCCCATTTAGTTCAAAAGGAAAGTGTGTCTAAACTGTTGACTGAGGTGTACAGTATATCGTATACAGTACTAAAAGTTCCTTTTTCCATATCTTGGAAAGCCCCTACACCCAATCAGCTGTCATAGCAAAATCAAAACCGACATTTTCCAGCTTACAGCTGTGCTGATTTTGAAATAGGTTGTAACAAAAGAGGGACTGTTTATTATGCAAGTTTCCTTAGCTTCATATACTGTATATAAAGTGTCATATGTTTAAGCCAAAGTATATCTCATGATCTTGGATTTTACTTTTGGATTGTGATCTAACTCTACCAAAATTTAACAGACTACAAAAGATAACCATAACTGTATTGCTGTCTCTGTGAGTGCCTTGTTTTAGTTTCCTAATTTTAGAATTGATCCTAAGCTTTTATTGATTACTTTTAAAGAACAATAATAAATTACCAGATCTTGTAATATACTAATTAATATTGCTTGCTATGATCAGCTAATGAGATGATAATGATGATTAGCTTTCATAAACCACTTTTTTATTTTAATGACAAAACCATTTTATAACTGGATGTAAAACTGAGTTTACAAAGTGTGCACTCATTACCCCAAATAACATGGTCCAAGTTATTTGGACTGAGGTCACTTGTGATGCAAGTTTACAATGAATACACATTGAGATTCAACATTGAAGTAAAGCAACCTTTACATAATCAGATCTTTGTGTATTTTTACTGAATCACCCCATAAGCCATCATAACACCAATGGCAGAAGCAGATAAGTCATGAAAGGCAGCCTGTACAAAGCAAATTAACATTCAAGTTAATTAACATTCAACATTCATTTATAGCTGTCTATACAAACCTAGAGGCATTTCAAATTAGAGTCCAATATTTCATATTTAGTCAAACCAAATCAGTAAAGGGTTAGCATAAATTATCACTTCTGCTTTCTCAGGTAATATTAATAATAATAATAAAAAATCATTGTAACCATTTACACATTTTGCTACAGAAAACAACTACCGGAATATCAAATCTGTCTGTGGAGAATGACAACATATTTATGATATAAACTACTTAATTTTGTGTGAGTATGAGCTTTTTATATAAATTACATTTTTAGGAGTGAACAAATGTGCCCAATAGCTTCCTAATATTGCTCCTTGTTCTGAGGTGAGACAGAGTTGTTTCCATTAAAATTGTTCCCCTTTACATAGCCACTAATGATCTGTCATTAAGATACATTGATTTTCCCTTGAGGAAGTGGTATGGGGGGTGGGTATTCACTACTTATGTGTGTTCGTCAAGGCAATATCACCAACTATGGAGTTTATTACCATTATCATATTGAGATAAGATTAATATTTCAGGATAGAAATAGTCCATACTTTAATTAGCTTACAAAAGATGTTTAGGTGTCAGGCACCATCCTCACCAAGATCATTACAATGAAGGTGTTAAATGTAGACGTGTTACACTGGTGATGAAACTGAACCAACACAGAATCCGCAGATTGTAGAGATACTTGTGGCATAGTTGAGACAGTGAGCATGCTTTCAATTTTCTAATATTTTCTGTAATCCGTGCAGGATTTGTCAGAAATAATTCCCTGACATTGTGTGCCTGAGAGGCATCAAACAGCATATGCTATCTGACATAGCTATTTTACTCCTTGCCAAGCATCTGCCAATCCCATATGGGTATTGTATGTGTGTGTATATCTAACAGCATGACAGAGAGAGGGAGACACACTTACTATTTGTTTTCAGAGAAACCTCTCATCATTCCTTTCAGATGAATGGAATCATAGAACTCTTAAGTTTTGCTTAGCATTGACTATACAAGCTGATATATAAATCATGTCTTCATCTCTTATCCCACAGTTGTGATAACTTCACATACTGTACAGTAAATACAGAAGATGGAAAGATGATGATCACAAGCAGCGAGTTTGTTTTTTCAGAGATATGAATGTAACTTTAACTTATTTGCCAATAACTGTCTCTCAGAGGCTTGCAAAAAAAGACTGATATAGAACAATGCAAATTAATACTAATTAATTTTAACAAACAAATCTTCTGACTGGGGAGATGAATGTGTGGGCTGTTGAACATAAATGCAAATGTTTTCTAAATTTTATGTTTGACACTTATCTCAGGAGGATATAGACACCCCCTATTGCTTTTTTTTCTCGTGTGCATAACAGGCTATGCTTTCTTAGATGTGACTCTCCCATCTCTTTCAGATTGAGCTTGTCTTTCAAGACATCTCTCCCCTTGCTGACACTGTATGTGGTTTAATGAGCGTTCTGTGCACTAATGCCTCTGTAAGCCATCTCCTTCCACACTACTCCTCTAATCTTATTCACAAAGGAGTACAAGTCACCCACTGAGGTGTCACTCATGGGATTCAGGTCTCTATTAACTGTTACATAACTGACATACCTCTCACCATTACTGTTTGTCTGCTGTATATACTTAAATGAACAATTTCCATGTAGTTCTTTATCCTTTTGAAAAGAAAGCTAATTATGCATGTCCTTGGACCCTGCAGCCACCATGGTCTTTTATAATATGAAGTCTGTTATTGTACATGTGGTCAAAACCATCTCCTCAGCCCTTTATCTTTCCATGCTGATTTCAGTTTTCACTTACCAACTGCTTACTTGCTTTCTTGCTTTCAAAATAAATTTTAGGATGAACATTTTTCTTGCTTTTTTTATTGTTTGGTATGATAATATATAGATCTTGTCTCCTCATTTTTCACTGTTACTCTGAAGTTATCAGTCTAAATCTAATATAGATGGATAAGTCAAAGTGAATGCTTGTCTAAAGGCATGCATGTAATGCTTAGTTATGTTGCAGACAGTCCTGCTGTCCTCAGCATGAGAAGATAGCTATTTCTGCCTCTCAACCCTAACACAAAGAGAATAAGTGCACTTTACTGCTGACCTAAAATAAAACCAAATGTAGCTTAATAACTTGGCAAATGGACTCACTAACTGGTGCACTTTGAGTGCACACAAGTGGCTCATTGCTATTTGCTGCTTGTCATTGACAAAACTGCTACCAGCCTCAGCCTTGACTGCACACAAAGGCTGGATAGAACTCTAACACATAGGGCAGAACGTCCCCAGACCAGACTAAGCCACCCTATTAGTCTCCAATTACCTTTCAGATGACAGCAAAGGTAGCCAAATTATCCCCATTTCAACAGTGACCAGAAAACCTCATATATCCTGGTGTATCCATTTTGTATTTGTAACACTGATTAGATACAATATAGAAAAGCTTTGTAGGGAGTATTGTCATGAACACACAAACACATATACAGAATATACATATTGACTGTTTTGCTTTTGGTCCTTGTCTGAGTCCTGGGGCCTATTTCAAGAAGGCGGTTTTGTCGAAACTCAGAGTTTGTTAACCC